GGAAGATCAAGGACAGAAAAGGGTTACTAGAAAACTGCATATACAAGGCACTATCACTAAAGAAAGAAGGACTCCTTGTTCCCCCCTCTGGCAGCAGGGAAGCTCCACAAAGGCCCTGGAAGAGGGGGCTGGCCTGGGCAGCGATCCATAAGGTGAGAAGCAGGTAGTGGTGGTACAGCTTCCCGGGGACCCCCAGCGTGCCTGGGAGGTGTCTGATGGGCAACCCGAATCAGCACCAGTGCTTTAGGTGGTGCACCATCAGGCATCCTAATGTACCAAAACGGCATGGAAATGCCTTTTGCTCAGAGCTCAAACCTGCTGGGGAAATTCTGCATCCCTGCCAAGCTAACTCCTGCTGATCGCACATCAGACTCCAACACTATTCTCCTGCTTTTTCACAGCCCCTCCATCAAGGCGCTCCGTTTGGGCCCAGGCGGCTATTTTACCTTCTGTGCATGACCAGTGAAGATAAATCTGAAGACAAGTCAATGTGTGAGCAGTCCCATAGCGACAACAGGGCTGTGTGCCTGAGTACGTGCTCATTCAGGAGAAGCACAGTTGCGCACGCTGGGTCCAGCTCTCGTTGAGGAATGCTCTTTAAGTGCATTATTATTATTGGAATCTCACTGTCCATCAGGGGAAAAAAAGAGTCTTTGTAGTTGACTTTGTTCATTCTTTCTATTTAATTTCTCCCTCACCCAGCCTCCCCCTCAGCACATGATAATTTTGGAAAGGTCACAGTATCAATTATTTTCAAGTAAGTGTGTATATTTTTTTCAGCATCACTTCTCCAAATCCTTGGGGAAAATGACAGGGCCAGCTTCTATTTTTAAAAGTGCAATGATTTTAATGCAAGAAGACAGAGTACAAATCAACCTGCTAATCAGGGACTTTTACTCACATCTACTACATCCCTTTCCTCACACTCTCCTCCTTACATTTGCTCAGAGGCACTTTCTGACACCAGACATAGCACTCTGCTGATCACAGGGATTGGGTGGACATTTTTCCTCAATTTTAATATGCAAAGCAGCATTAGATGTGCTAGCCTGAGTTTCAGAGGTCCAGGGAGACCTAGGTGTGCTACCTGAATGACTGTGTGGAAGTAATTAGTCAGAAGTCCATGAGCTGCACTGGAGCAAGGCAACAAAGGTTGTGATTTACAATCTGATCAGTGACTTACAATCTGATCAGTGACTTCCAAGCAATTGGTTCTGCAGATCTTTGAATGATACAGGTTTAACTTGACTTAAATTTGGCAGTCAGTAGCTATGCAGCAAATTCCTGTTTTCTCTAAGCTGAAATTAAGTGAAATAGCGAGTGCAGATTCAGTCAATCTCACTCTTGTGTCATCCATAACCACACCCTCTCAAGCACTCATTATTCGTATCTTGACTTCTTTAGCAATTAGAAATTAACTTCAGATACGTAACGTAAGGTTAACCTCAAAAGCTGCCACACCATTATGTTATCCAGCTAATGATCCCTCGTTCTCAGTGCATTATGCCCTCACGTAGGGTTACACCAGACAGAAAGATCTTCCATGCTGAGGTTTCTGTACCATTCTATGAAACCAAATGCCCTCAACAACAAGCCTATGGCTACAGGGAAGCTCCGTATCTCCTGGGTGAATGCTTAATACCTGCTTGCATGCAACAGATGAAAGAGCAGGTTTCTGTCAGCACCGCCATGGTGAAAGGATGGTGGTTGAAGCTGTCATGAAAAATCTGTTGGGGGTGGCTGCATTGGTGTAAGTTTAAAGAGAGATAATGCCAACCTGACAGGGAGCTGTAATGGGAATAAAAGACACCGAAAGAGGTAAGAGAAAATAAAACAGAAAATCTGCATAACTACATTAACTGCATAATTATAAAGGACTGATGCGCTGAAAGCCTAAGCATGCTGACCCTGCCCAGATTGCTCTGGCAACTGGGGTGGCAGTGCCAGCCCAGCTGGCATTGTACTTGGCTGTATGCTGCATTTTCGGGGGCATGCCCTTAGGGAAGGGCTGCCCCAGGCACACATGACCACGTTGCCAAGGGGCAAAAGAGCTACCCATAGTGAGAGAACAGGGAAAATGGAGTCTCCTCCTCTATCTCCTCCAGCTTCCCCCCAAACACTGCTTGGTCTCAGGCAGTTTAGTGCTTGACAGCTTTGCCAACGAAGCTTAATGTCTGCCTAGAATGATGTTATCAGCCCAGTAACAGTCCAGCTTAAGGGGTGCACCTCTCTCCTCCTGGAGGAGGACAGACAAAGAGGGAGAGCAACATGCCCCATGCCATCCATCCCACCTGAGGCAGTCCCTGCAGCTGGAAAGAAATTCACCATTCTCCTCAACATTTATCACCTCTGATCAGTGCAGAAGGCAATGGCAAAGACAAAACATTTTCTCTGGGGCTCCTGGACCATGAAAGTGACTCCAGGGCCTGCCTGAGAGTCAATTTAAAGCTGTGGTCTTCAGGATGAGTTCTCAGACTGATTCAGGAGGTGATGGTTTCACATTGGTTTATGATAGCTGGAAGCTAACACCTCAGCTGCAGTCAACCAGTGCTGTTTTTCAATCTTCAGGGCAAATCCCAAGAAAAAAAAGTTAACTGATGCACAGAGAACTAAGAAGTTAGCCATATGTTCTCAGTGTTTTTATAAGTTGCAGGAGTAAATTGCCTCCTGTGGCATCTCACATCCAGAAAGAGAGGATCCCAGATCTGACTGAGCTCCTTTTCAGGAGTGACTTTTGTCTTGATTTCTGCCAACAATAAGGGAGCTTACTATGAAAAAAACCCAAGCCATACAGCGACTTCCAGGTGGCAACTAATGATCCACCCTCCGAGACCGATCTGACTTTGCCCCCTTGCATTTCTTTGTTAAATGGTGGTAGCTGTGGAACAGTAGGCAGTGGGAAACACATGAAAGATTCTTAGTGTTCAAAGAGAGAAACCTAATACAATACATCGACCACGCATGTGACTGGAGACTGAGGAAGGATATTTAAGAGACTGTTTCCCATTCCCTGCCGTGGTGCTCCTGAATTGTTGCACAGCCTGTTCAGTTCCTGCTGCTAAGAAACAGCTTGCCTTGCCCCAAAGCTGTCCTAACAGATCTTCCCCTTGTAGACAGATCCCACATTGATCATTCCTTATAAGAGATGATAAACTAGATCAAAAGTAAACCCCATATTGAGAAACAAGTTAAGCATTCAGAATTATTTCCTCTGTAGCTGAAAGAGGCAGCTCCTGCAAGGAAAGAGGGTTTTTAGACAGCTTGCTACATTACTGCAGTGTGCAACCACCACGGTTTTATTTTTGCTAATCGACTTTTTCTCAACAGTGAGCCTTTGCTTTTTGTCACACTGCACCCACAGCAGCATGACTGCCTCATAAGCCTTTGATGCTGCAGAATACACAGTTCTCTGTAACAGATTGGATCACTCTGAGAATATAAAACCAGCCCCGACTGTGTGTATATCTGTGGATGCCAGGTTGTCAGCACAGGTAGCTGTGCGTGTGAATCTGTTCTCAAGACACATGGAGGCACCTAAGGCTCTGTACTGAGTTCATGTGGTTTAGGACCCATGTCTTTTCCCTGACCCTTGCTATTTGGGATGTGCTCCATGAGTAAAGACAATGTCACAAGGTACTTGTGGTAACTGTTGTGGCCTGTTCCCATGATCACAGCACAGTCAGATGACATCATGGAAGTCAAGGACCTTGGTCAAAGTGCTCAGAAAATAAAGAAAAAAGGTGCTGCTGTTGAGAATTTTCCATAAGAATTGTAAGAGGTAAGGGAAAGGAGAAAAAGTAACTATTTTGCTTTAGCATTAGCACTTTTCAAACGGAGCGCTCTATCTTTTTCAATGTCAGCTCAAACTAGAGTTTGGAAATGAAGTCCTGGTCTTGGGGAAGGCAACAGCACTTTTTTCTTCTGATTTCAGGGAGGTTTCACAGCTTGCCTGAGATCTTCCCTCAAGCTCCAGGAGTAGATTAATTCTTTGTTTAAGAACTTAAGGCAAGATGTATCAGACCAAGAATGATCTCAGGCTGTGGCAAAATTGGAATATATTTGGCTGTTACATTCAACCTTTCCCTTGTCTAGGCTCCATGATAATATAATGTTGTTGTTGCCAGACACTAAGGGTAGGCTCCAGCATACAGTGGGCAAGAAATGATAAAGGGAGGGCTTTTTTTTTTTTTGGTAATAGTGTAATGGAGATAATGAAGAAAGGAAATCGAGAATAACCTCTATCACATACTTAAAAGAGAAGGTGTTTTCATAAACTATGCATATTTGCCAATTCTTACTGCAAAAAACCTCTTAAAGCTTCCAGATCTGCCGTTATCAAACCTTAGAGTCAGAGTTTTCAACACAGAAACATTAGGAAGTTCACTTTTCTGTACTGAAAATGCCATTTACAGAAAAAAAGGGGTCTGAACAGGTTCTAGGCATTTTGGAAGTGTTAGAAGTGGCCTTCCTCGTGAGAGAGAATTCATTGTTTATTTTAGCATGTAGCTGAACTGGGAATTTAATAGAAAGTATATAGAGCCCACAAAAAACTGTAATTGCAATGAGCATTTGTTATCAAGGGGATCTGTCATGAAAATGGTATTTGCAAATGCTCTCCTCATTTATATTCTTTTCAAGGTTATGAAATCCCTTCCTCTTGTTGTTCCTCTTTCTCCTCCCCCCAATAAACGTTCAAGTATTCTTCTTGTACATAGATGCCAAAACCCCTGGCAACTAACTCCGCAGCATGCAAATTGACACCCAGTGTGCCCTCAGAAGAACACAAGCAATTTCAGGAAGCAAATGTTTATCTGTTCTTTCTATCGAGCAATATATTGTTGACTGCAAACACTTCCACCCCAAGACTCCAGTAATATCATTTGGACAAGCTTTGAATGTCCTTCTCGTAAAGGCACATGTACAGGACTTGTAGTCACAGCAGTCAAGAATGCCTGATAGACCCTGAAGAAAATACAGTTTAAAAATAATATACATCTTACCTGCTTATTCATAAGTATGTAGATAATGGGATTGCAAACAGTGCTGCTTTTTGCTAGGATGGAAGGTATGATGCTTGCAACTGGAGTCACCGTACCTGGCTTACCAAACGTTGCAAGTAATGCTATAACTCCATAGGGAATCCAACACACGAGGTAACAGATAACGGTCGTGATCACCATGAACAGTACGTGGTATTCTCTTTTGCGGGCAGCGTTCTTGTGGATTTTTCCAACCTAGGGGAAGGTGAAAAAGGAAGCTGAGCTGTGAACCGATTGCTTTAACAAACTGGGACTCTTGGTCTTGGATCAGCAATGATAATCCAGAAGCAAAACAAAAAAAATGCAAACCCAAAAGTGAGCGAAGGCAGTGGGAAGACTTTCATTGTCTCCACCAGGCATTAACGGAAGCCCTGCAAGCATCATGCTGCATGCCAGCAGAAACCACAGTCCCAGTGGTGGTTGGATCAAAAGCAGAAAGGGGATGAAGTTAGCACATGGTCCTTAACAGCTGGTAGGTCATCTCCAGTTGTTTTTCAGCTGTGGAATTTTGTATAATTGCACAATGTTTTCACTGAGGTTATTCCAGTACCCAGGACTTGCTTGAGACAGAGAAGCATGACAAGGCATAGGTGAATCGACAGAATAATTTTCTGTTCAGGGTGTGGAAAGAGCAGAGCAATGCTAGGACTGTTCTCAGTCCTTGGATGTTTTCAAGGCTTGGCTAGGTAAAGCCTCATCTGGCCTGGTGTAGTATTGGCGATGGTCGCACTTGGAGTTGGACACTAGAGTAGCCTTGCAAACAACACTGTATTAAGATTTAAGTGGTAGGGTTCATCCTTTCTAATAATTCTTAAAGGCAGCTTACCATTTTGATAAAAGGGCCTTATACCTGATAATCATTCAAAACGGTTTTTGCGCTCTTACAAAAGCGTGCCAAATACTGACATAGTTCAGCTATTGTATTGGTGTTTTTGGGGGAAATGGAGTAGAACTGGGTAAACAGAAACCTCAGATTTAAACTATCAGTTTCAAAGTTAATTCATCTCAACAGGAATTTACCAGTAGTTACAGTCTGTGGAAGTATTTATAGTCTGTGCTTCAAAATGTACTCTCCTTTGACCTGTTCTGGACTGAAGCATCTTGGCCTTTTGGAGTCTAGAGCCCTAAGATGGAGATTAAACACTAAAATAACAGGCAATTTTTATTTTTAAACTTGGGTGTGAAGGCATTTTTCTGCAGCCAGCTACAGAACGCTTTTCCCGTGCATTCGTACTGGTGATCGCACTGGTGACACCTGTGAGGAAAAAGCTTCATTCCCACACAGAACGCACATACGGTGCTACGCACAAGCATTATTTAAAAGCAAGTTTCCCATGCAGTGAGATGGCCATGAAGTTTGATCCAAAGCCCATGGAGGTCAGCACAGGATTGGGTGGGGTATAGATCAGGTTTGGACACTTGAAGGATTATTAAAAAGTTCTTAGGAAGCATTCAGAAAGAGAACTCCAGAATAACAAGGCCAGTGTCCCAGAGCATCTGTGCAGCCAACAAAGAAAGCAAACTCTGCAAGGAGGCTAATTTTGGAGCCAGCCTCTCTCCGCACACTCTAGATGGAGCCTCAGCACATTGGTCTCCTGACGTTACGGTTAATTCCCCAACTTCCCCCCAGTGTGCGTTTAGCAAACCCATATGTGCCAGCAGGGTTTCAGGAAGTATTCAAATGTTCAAACTATATAGATTGAGTCTTGTACTCAGCCAAATGTAGCTTATGCCCACTTAAAGGTCTTTTTGCCTCCTGAATGTGGTACTTGAGAGTAAACTGCACCCAAGGGAACTAAGTCTCTGTAAAGCTACAAACATAAATAAGCAAAAAGGCTGCTCCCTGGAATACAATGCATCCTGACTTTACTTAAAAAAAAAAAAAAAAAGTTGGAAATGAATGAGTTCACGCTGATGCAGAAGAACACTGATGTGCACAACTCTGTAAATAAATAGAACACAGTTAAAGGTGGAAGCCACTAATGACCTGAGTCCAATGTCATCTCCTGCTGCCTGGCGCACAACTTGCACATGCTAATGGAGTGGAAATAGTCAGAGCTTTACCTACCTCGTCGTCATGGTGTGGATGCTTTTGCATAACATATGTGTTTGTGTATCTGACTGTGAGTTAAAACCATATATAGTAACTGTGAAAGTGCATATAGAAGGCAAAATAATATGGTGACACTTTTTGGTTTTAGTTAGTTATGAGTCTAGCCTTCTAGAGAGGTTGTTTCTATCTGGAGTTTCAGTAGAAACGTTCCCGTTGAAAGTAAATAGAACACACACAAACTTAGTCTGCCAAAAAATAAAAAGTATTTTTTCCTGTCTAGTCTTTCAATGATTTTCTGCAAAAAGGCTATTACAAAATAAAATCCATCCTTTCTGAAAACACTGGGGATAATTCTTTCTTTTTTTTTTGCAAGAACAGAGCTTGTTTATCTCATAATTACTTTAGCTTGAAAAAAGGATTAATAATAGATAATGGTCCAATCCTGTATTGCTTATTTGAACTAAATTTTTCATGCCTAATGGGAATTTTCTTTGACTGAAAAATCCAGGATCCAATGTTAACTGCAGCTACGTTACAACTTTAATATTAACCGAGGAATGCAAAGCCCCAGCTAGCCATGGCATCCACAGCTAAAGATCTTCAATAAAGGCAGAGGCATCAGTCAGCACATTTTCCCTCTGTGTATAGACAGTATCTCTGTTTTGAAGAGTTTGCAAGAGTTTACCCTCTGCACAGATAAAATATAGATCATAAATAAGGGAAGGAAAGATGTGTAAAAGTGAAGTGACTATGGGTGTGATTTTGGTAGGTATCCTTCTGTTTTCATACCTTCAGCTTGTTTCCTTAGGAAAGGAAGCCTGTGTTGCCACTGTGCCTGTGTCAGTATGTTAGTAAATCTGTCTGTCTGCCTGTTGGTCCCGGTATCTTCTTTGTAAATCTTATTAAGGTTCTGAAACTTATTATGTGGCCAGAGGTCTGACACTGAGTTCTTCACATGTCACTAGAGCAGCAGGATCCTTATTAATGTTCCAATTAAGAAGAAAAACACAGTGTGAAATGAACTCAAATTAGACATCAGAGAATCCACTCTAGTTTAGGTTCTGGTTTGGATTTGTTTGTACTTTTTTTTCCTCTCATCTTCCTCTTCTGGAAAAGGAGAAATCTCTGATCAGAGCTGTTCCTGAAACAGGACATTCTTAATGTATCCCCAGTATCTATTAAGGGTGACCTTCCACTGCAGTCTTCTATAATTGAGTTTACAGCCTCATTTGTCATGAGACAAACCTACTGGAAAGCAAACTGAGTTATCTGCCATTCTCACAGCATCTTTCACTTCCATGTTTACATCAATGTAGCAAATTGTTTTAATTTTTATGTGCCTCACATTATAATACAATTTACTTAGAGTCCAGATCCTGGTAGCGAGCAAATTAGAACTTCAGGTTTTTTTGAAAGTTCATTTGTTTTTTTCAGAAGGAAATTTGCATTCCCACTGTTTCAGAGAGGAAATTAAAAGTATGAAATTGCAATAAGAAATGCAAGCAATGGACCAGAAGTGAGGAAGGATCATAAAGTATGTCCTTCCTTAATGGTTCTAAATACCAGGTGACCTGGGTGTCCCAGCTTTCCAGAGGGGATAAGGATGGTAAGATGAGTCCAAAGGACAAATCTAGGCATCCCTTGCAATGAATCCCAAATGTATTTAATGATGCTCTCAATTTCAGTTTGATGTCCAGAGTTGCTGTAGCTGTTAACTACGTTTTATGCTCAAGTAACTCATCTGCTTCCTCAGTGTCAGTAATCTTGCTTCTGCTTGGTGTTCTGGCTGCCAGTAAACTGCAGGACACGTGAGGTGCTGGAGCGGTGCTTGCACAACTGAAGGGGTGGGGGAAGATCCGTACCACTTGATGCCTCTGAGCACGCTTGCCACGCTGTTGTGTGACTGACCTTCCCCTTGCCTTGTGCCACATCTTGGGAAACAGCAGAACAATGTGATCTTCTTTTCTATGCCCCTTCTGTCTCTCCAAGCCACTTCAGCCCAAACACGGCTGTTTTGATAGTGATGAAGGCAAGCTGCAGTCCTGGTGTGGTTGTGGTATCGCCCTGGTACATTCTGGGGTACGTTAAAGCAAGAAAGGCCAGAGGATTTCAAGAAGTGTTAGACTACTCTTTAGGAAGTGCCCCCAGAGTTTTGGTTTTGAAACCACGTACTATATTCATCTACACATTCTTGGTTTCATTGCCTTTGTAGCTTTTCAGCCTACATTTAGAAGGTGTTATCTTTAAAAATTCTTTGTTTATGGATACTGGCTGGCCTCCAGGAAAATGTAGCTCAAGTTGATGTTAGCTACAGAAAGATTACAGTTTTGCAGGTGAAAAAGCAGTAAGCAATTTAAAATGAAAACGATTTCTTATTTTAAAACACTGGACAATTTAAGGCAATGGTTACACTGCATTTTCAGTAGTCAAATGGAAGTGCATCCCAGAAATGCCTAGTGTTTGGACAGACAGCTGATAGAAGAGCATCATGTGGTGATGAGGAAAAATAGATTCAAGTAATTTTCTAGAATAAAAAAGCTTGTAAAGCCCAATCTACATGTGAAGATATAGGATATATATATGTTTAAAATCTACGATCTAAACCAAAATGGCACAAGAAATACTGGTCCATTGGGACCATAAGGTATTTATTCAGGATGGCTGGAAAACACATCTACTGTAAACTCAGCTGTTTCCTCTGGGGCAAGGATCATCTCCTGCCAAATTTGGTAGTCTAAATGTACGAAAAGTGCTATATTTAAAGAAAAAAAAGGGGGGGGGGGGGGGGGTGGTGTAGGGTAGGAAGGGTGTTGAGGGTTTTTTAATGAGAAAATGGTGTGTCTCCATTACTTTCATCCTGGAAAGTATCAGAAGTGTTTTGGGTTTTCAGAAGTCAGGCAGAGGCAGTGACAGACAAACTTGTCTAATCTCAGGCACCGAGCATGAGACCGGCACAGTTAGCTCTTGGCCGGATATGCCCTGTAGCCAAGCTGCATCTCGTGTATATACCCCATACTCCTTTTTCCCACTCAGTCTGACATGCCAGGCACCACTAGTTAGATGACTACAGCAGTGTGCTCAGCAGTTATATTAGATGTGACAGGTGACAGCATGGGAGAAGCCATGGTGGTATTCAATGAGA